ACAAAAAAAATTAATTATTTGGTTACTTAACTTGCAACTTCTGTACATAGTGCCTCTGAATTACAACCAGGAACCTGAAGAGAAAACCATTTAGGGTGAAGCAGTTAGAAAACTGAGGGACAAGAAGAAAGATGTGCCCCAAAAAAACCCCAAAACCAGACCAAAACAAAGGTAGGGGAATAGGGAACAGTCTAAACTGGGGGATGGTGTCATTGCTGTAGCTCGTGCCACTGCCTTTTGTGAGTTGCTGTTAGTGTCTCTGCAGTCAGAAAGCAGCAGTAGGTTTGGAGCGACGGTGCAGACCTGTAGACAGTATCTCTGGGTTTCAGCTCTCCCCTAGAAGGTGTGCTGTGGGCAGGCACTGCGTTCCGAGAGCGTTGCACGCGGCAGTGTGTCCCCTCCGCGGGTGCCACCTCTCCTTTCCTGCGGGAAGCCGTGGGTGCTAGAGCTGCCTGCTGGTCCCCGCGCTTCTATGTGCATACTAACAGCCTGGATGAGAGATGCCCAGACAGCTCATGTGGGGCGTGGAGTAATGCTGGGTACCTGTGTAGTGCTCGGAGGTAAAATTGATTTGCTGGTTTGTGATTTCCAGTGGAAGTACTGGAATCCAATGAGCCGGTTAAGGTTTTCCTTGGGGAGCCTGTTGGTGCAGCTGAGTAGTGTTTACACTGGAATAGTTGATAGTGTGCACCTGGAAAAGGCAAAGACTGGTGAGGGAAAGCATGACAAACTCGTGTGTTCCTTGAGGTGCAAAAGAAAAAGAACTTGGAGAGTCAGATGAGGAACACTTCAAAACCCATCTTCATTTTCTTCAGCACTGGTTACAGGAAGGGAGTTTCCATCCATCCTAAGGGCTTGTTTGAGTAAACGTGGGCTATTTTTTAAGGATTAGGAGGATTTAGGTGCTTGGAATTTGTTTTGCTACACATTATTTTGATTAAATGAAAACATTCAGGCTTGATTAAATTAGTTTATCTGGAGCTGTTTGAGGTTGTTTGAGTATCTTGAAAACAAATTGGATGATGTAATTACATGGACAAACTGTGTATCAGTGGTTTCCTAGCTGCTTTGTGGATGATTTCATGCCTTGTTCTTGTGTTCCCAACCCATAGCTGTGGTAGCTTTTTCAGGATTCATGTTGCAAATGATCTCCTTTTTCTCTGCATTCAGCCTTTCAGAGATGTCCCGTGGGGGCATCTTGACACCCCTTCTCTTCTTGGCTTATTTCGAGCAGTGATACACACCTGGCTGTGCCAGGCTAGAGGGAATTAAGGCCTTTGGATACCGGAGAAATCAAATCTTGTTATTACCAATTGATTACCCAAGGATGAGAAGCATACTTCAAATGTTTGTAATTCCTTAAAACCTGTGTATACGTTTCTAAAGGATGGGTGTTCATTTCTATTAAGAAATTGTTAAATTTGTTCAATCGTAAGTTGGCTGATCCTTAAGGGACAGTTGAGAGGCTTAGCTTCAGATCTGAGTGAAGAATTTGTTGCCTTTCTTAGGTCCGTCAACTTGCTTTGTTTTGTTTGTAAGGTACCCCCATGGGAACTGAAATCTCTTGTCTCGTGCAGACCAATCTCCACGTTTTTATCGGGCTCTGAGCAGCTCGAGGGTCTTTCGCCATAATGGATGTTTTTATTTCCTTTTACTCCTTTTCAGAGGAAATGGCAGCAGCCCAGTGAGAATCGGGCTCCAGTGCGCCCTTTGTCTGAATGCAGCTGTGAACATCTGTGCAAACCCATCGTCTTCTCTGATGGTCTGTTTTTTGTCAGTGATGTCCCCTATGCCTCTGGCAGTGTTCAGCCATACTGTTCAAGTTCTTTAACCTCAATGACAAAACAAAACACAAAAAAAACTTCCATCAGAAGTTGAGCTGTTGAAGCATACCCTGGCTTTATGTCCAGTTCCTCTCTGAAGTGGGCCTTTCCCCAGGACTCTTTGGTCTTTGTTAACCTGAGGTTCCCAGAGCCTTGCTGAGGAAAAGTAGCATTTTCTTCCTTTGCCTTTTTGGAGGATTACCTGCCTTCAGCTTGATTTTCTCCAAAGATCTGTCTATAATTCCAGCTCTGGTGAAGTTTTGTGCCTGTCATTTCCAGCACGGGTGTCATAACCAAATGTAGCCCCTGCTCCTGGCCATGAGCTACCTGAGGAGACATCGCCGTTAGTGTGTTTGTGTGCGCGCTTACTATACCTATTTAAAATTATCAAATAACTTCATTTCAAAGTGTTTCAGTCTTCATTTTTTGTTTTTATTTTTTTAAACTTCTCAACATATTTGCCACTTGAGATTATCGAGTTTTCAGTTTAGCCTGGCAATCACATCCTATTTGATTTTACATGGCTGAGTAGAACTTGCAATTGTATAATTCAGCATTTTAAAATTTTTTATTACAGAATTTTATATTCTTAGAATAGATTTACTGTATTCTCATTTAAACTTCATTCCTCCTACATTAAGCCAGACCTTCAGGAGTTGTAAATCGATGTATCTGTACACAAATCAGTTGACTGAGTGATTTGCACCACGTGATAATGTGGGCAGCTTGGAATTTTTGTTTTCTGTTATATGTAAATACTGAGAAATTAAACATTCTGGTTTACCTCATACTAGGCCTTTCAGTGGCGTTTGTTTGCATTTATTTGCACAAGTCCCTTCCAACCTGGTATTCTATGAAGTTATTTGTGTGAATATCCACAGCAACAGTTATGGAAAGGGACATGTATGAACTCTTTTCTTTTGGTATCTCCCTTCCCAGTATTTTTAGCGCAAACTTTTGTTTGCTTGAAAGCCAAGCTTTTCACATGCCTGTTTGTTACCCAGCGGGCCCCTGCAGGAGAGGAAAGCCTGAAGAGCGCCCTGTGTTGCAGAGATGCCCAGGCAACGTGGCTTTCCAGGTGCCCACTGTTATAGGAGCAGGAGCTTGGAAGAAATTAATTTATTTTGGTGGAAATACTGGGATATTTATGTTGTTTAAAAGCTGGATTTTGTACGTTACCTTATTGCCTCAAGGTCAGAGAGGCTGGGAAGGAAAGCTATGGGACAGGGTTCTTGCGTTCGAGGAATTCCTCAGTGAGACTATTTCTGTTTTCCTTGGTTTCACTGTACTGCTTTCGAACACCAAGCTGCTGTCCCCTTAATGCTAGTTTACACTATTCATTGTACGATGTTGCTTTTGCAGGAAAATCACCTTGGCTTTCAGCCTTGCTCAGGCAGATCTTTACAAGTACCTAAAATGCTTTGTATGTTGTCGCCATTGCAGTAAACCTCCTTGTTGTGGCTGCTTGGGGAGAAGCGGTACCAGAGAGAGAGAGAGAGAGCGCCGTCCTGCTTTAATTACTGCTGGGGTCAAAACCCCTTCGTTTTGCCCTGAAGTAACAGCCATTCTGTGAGGATGACTTTTATACGCTCAGATGAAGTCCCAGGACCCAAAAGTGTGAGGCCTGCGCTGGCATGGATGGCCTTCCGAAGGCAGCTCAGCCTTTTAGCCCAGTGCTACAGCTTGTAGTACTTTCAGTCAGTTTATATGAAATGAAAATACAAGATAAGATGAGAAAAATATTAAATACACGTTTGCAGAAGGGAGTGGAAAACCAGCTGTGGCTGTTGACATGGAGCTGTCTGGAGCCCAGGCATCGCTGTCCCAGCCCCGTCAGTACGGCGGGAGGGCTGACCGCGCCGTTTCTCGAGCGCTCTTCCTGGGCCAAGGGGATTACTCAGCTGGGTTGGAACTCCTTGGGCTGCCCAATGTCCTGCTTCATCTCCTTACAGCACACGGGTTCCTTTTCCAATACTGACGTATTGTGGTGTTAATAATAGCCATAGGCTGTAGTTGTCCAGAGATTACACCACTTGGAATAACAAGCACTAGGTTCCTAATGACCTTACGTTATCTACAGTTTCTCATTTTGATTGTAATTCAATATAGAATATTAAGCAATACAATCCAGCAAAATGCCATCATTACTGTGAAGTCTAGGTTGGTTTATTTATTTTTACAGCCAGAATCTTATCTTAAAGCTGACAAATGGATACTGCATGCTATTTCTCCAACAAGCTTTGAATTCTGAAAAAATTACCTTTGTCTTAAACAAAAACTTTTGGTATTTTTTCTGTTGTTTTTACATCATTTAATTCTTGAAAATGTTGACAGCTCAGCTAGATTATGGTTGATTATAAAGTCCCACATCATATTTTTGGAAGGTGCTGACACAAGCCTGTTGCTCTTTGTATCTCTGAGTTAAGAAATATTTTTCATTCGATGTTGACCTTTTTCATGTTTCATCTGATAATTTACATTGCTATAAATGTGCAAGTACTAGCTGGCACAGAAGTAATAACCCTTGTCTTTATATTGGAGTTAAAATATTTTAATGCTTTGGAATTTGTCTCTGAAATAATTTGAGTAGAATTTCTTGATATTTTTATGGGTGGGTATACAAATTAGCTTCTTTTATCTGAGAGGGAAATGTTAAGCAAAAATCTAGATACTCAGTAAGACATGGTTTTCTAGAGAACAACCACGGCTTACAGTGAAAATGGAAAATTTATCCCCAGTACTGTCTACTCGCTGGTGAGTTTTTCCCCAGTCTTCCAGGGAAGTGTAGGTGGTCCAGGATTTTCAGAAATGGGTGGCTAAGTAAGACTACCTGTGCTGAAGGGTGAATGAGAGGTGCGGGCAGGCCCCGTATTCGTTTAGCATCTTCCTTAATAGCATAACACAATGAACTAGCTGGGGTGTCTGAGGGCAGAGTGTGCTTGCTGTGTTTGTCACGGAGAGGTGATGTGAACCAGGCAGAGGGCAGGAGGAGCGGAAGGGAAGTGGTTCTACCACAAGGCAATGAAAAGCGCATGTCTGCTGGATAGTCGTTCCTCGGATGGTGGAAGAACGAAGGGCTCCAGCCCTGTTCTTTCCTCCTCGGCTCCCGTGTGATACGTGGTCAGGTAATACTAGAGCTAACGTCAGTAACAATTTTTCTTTCTGTTTTCATTTCAGTTATTTGCCACCTTCCATGCATGAATGGAGGCCAGTGCAGCTCTAGAGATAAATGCCAGTGCCCTCCGAATTACACCGGTAAACTTTGTCAGATCCCTGTGCAGACTGCAAGCACTCCAAAACTGTACCATCACCCGCAGCAGGTGAACAAGGCTGTAGGATCCCAAATTGTCCACTCTACTCATACTTTACCACTGACGATGTCTGGACAGCAAGGTGTAAAAGGTAACTTTTTTCTTGATATTTTTTGCTTTGGAGTTAATTTCAGTAACTAATTTTGGGTATCCAACCAGTAATGATAGTGATTTCTGTACATAGTTCAAATCTTGAAACCACAGCTTGAATCATGAGCTCACCAGAATGACAGGAGGGTATTTTGCTTGATGACTGAAATAATAAGAAATAACAGTGCTATTGAAAAGAGTTTATAAGTAAATTTACTTTGCTTTATGGTGGAATTTAATGCAGATTGCAGAGTCAAAGGATAATACAGGGAGTGTCTTGCAGAAATGTAGACTTGTTCAAAAAGAGAATGATTGTGACTGAACAGGGTCCATAAATTGCAGTATAACGAGACAGAAAGTTGCAGGGGATTCCGTGGTTACTAGTGGAGGGAAGAAACAATACTTTTCAGCATAACAAAATTTAAATATTAGGTAAAACTAAAAATACGATTTATGTTTATCTTTGTTATATCATTTGGTAGAGGCCTATAAGTTAATTTTGTGGTGAACTCTTTAATATAGATGGGCCATGCTATGATTGAGTTAAATAGAACATTCTTTCCAGGTCGTATAACAATATCGTAGAAAGAAATGGCAAGGATTTCCTGCTGCTAATGCTGTGAAGGCAGCAGAAGATCAGAAACAAGAACAGCTGTGATGTTAATGAAATTTTGCCCAGTCAAAGAAAATTCCATCAGCTTCAGATTTCTGTTTTCCCCCAATACTTTTTTGTGAAGTGATGAGTTCTGATGACCTTGAAGAGAAGTGTTGCATTTGTTACACAGTCTGTTGGGAAACAGTGTCCACTGACATGGAGTATTGGTCCCTAAAGTTCGCCAAAACTTTTCTGAATCTTAAAAGGGGGGGGTGGGGAGTGAGAGAAGGAGAGACTATAACTACCTAAACATGTAGCAGAGCAGCAATTTATTTGTGACCATTTAATTCCAGCTCAAATTATTTTAAACAATATGGTGAAGCATGAAAAAAAAATATGTTAAGACAGCTGTTTTTCAGATTTAGAGTTGCTGTCTAAAAACCACACAATAGGTTTCTCACTGCTACATAATCTGACCTCTTGAATATTTTTTTCCTGAACCTCAAGTCCTCACCAGAATCATCATCAGTCACAATGCCTTTCCTTCTCTTCCCATGCCCAAGTGAGGATGTTGGATTGTGGAGAGAGGAATGTTTCATTTCTTTCAAGGAAAGAATAAAACAATTCATCCTGAAGTGGCTGGCAGAAATAAAAATTAATCAGCACATCTAGGCAGTGATCCAAGGCTTGGAGAGAGTTGTGATAATAGTACTACAAGGGAGGAACCAGCGTAAATGGGATGTTTTCAGCATCTCAACATTTCTAGGTGGATTGATAGATTAAAACAGAGCAATTTGGTGATTTCTTTTGAGGGCTAATGTATTTTTTAGATTTATCAGCTTGAGAAACTGGTTGAAGGGATCCCTCTTGGTACGTAGAAATACATGATAGTAAGTTGGGGTGAGTTTTGTGCTTTTCACAACCAGACTATGCTGTCTTTTCTTGTGCTGCAAAAGCAGCCTAATAGCCTAAGAAAGGCCTCACTGCTGCTTCTCCCAACACTGAATCTTTTCCATGTGGGTTTACCTGGAACAGAACTCATGTAGCATAAATTTTTCTTGAAGGTTGTTTTCTGCTACAGGCAAGATCCGAAGTGCCATCAAGGCTCTGCAGCCATATTTTGCTGACTTTCCACTATCTTATTCCTCACGTTTCTGTCTGCTATACAGTGAAGAGTTTCATAAATGAAACAATGCAGGACAGAGTAAAAATAAGTTTGTTTCTTTTAAGAGATTCCTATGCAAGACCAATTAATACCGAAAATATGCCTAGAGAAATGAAAATAAGGTGAAAAACCAAAAGCAAATCCTACAAAATAATATCATATTAAAAAAAACTAAAATAAATGAAGTATGCTTCCTGGGAGGTGGAGCTGTGAGGTTGAAATTTGTAAATAAGAACAGAACATGCCTAGTAAGTTCCAGAAAACAGGCTGGCCTCCTGGAGGCACGGAGACAGTTCAGAAGACTCAAAAATCCAGCATGCGTTATGAAGAAAGTGTGTCAAATGGCGTGTCTTGGTTCTTCGGCTTGGAAGGGGTGTTGCATCTGACGGGTTGGCTGGCCTCGAGTGGTCTCTGCGGTACTTGCTGATGCAGAGGCCCAGGGAGGCTGTGGAGTCTCCTTCTCTGTAGACACTCAAAACCCGCCTGGACCCGTTCCTGGGTGACCTGCTCTGGGTGGTCCTGCTCTGGCAGGGGGTTGGACTAGGTGATCTTCCTTCCAGCCCCTGACGTTCTGTGATGAGAATCACCCAGCCAGCCACAGTAAATGTTACCTTTGCTATGCAGCTTACAAACTTGTGAAACTTGTTACACACCTCTCCTCCCTGCCCACCAATAATAACTTGAGTTACATGTTTAAAGGTCGTTTTGAGGATCATAAAGAGTTTTGTGCACATTACATTGACTGGAAGGTCTCAATCTATATACTCGGACTTAAAACTACAACTGTATTTAAAAATGGAAGTATTTGAAAAACATTTCCTCCCTCTTTATCTGCCAAATCCTGAATTCAAACTTCAGCGAAGGGAGTGGTGATTTTAGATGGTTGAGATGCTGGCAGCTCTTGCAGGGGCAAATTTGGGATTTGGCAGGTATATAAAGGTGAAGGGATGAAATCTGAAGCTTTTTCTCTGTTCCAGAGAAAGATGATGGATCTGAAAAAGAAAATAAAGGTTACTATATATCCAAAAATAACCCAGTAGAGTTTGAATTCTGGAGCTTGGAATGGGATTCTTATTACACAGTATAACCACAAATATTAATGTCACAGTAGCCAATTTGGACATCCATGTTTATGTAGCAGTCTTTACGATCCTATAATGTCATTCTTCCCTATGTGAAGAGTTGTCATTTTCTTGCTTTGTTAATGAGACTCTATGCATTCTTTCAGCCTTCCTTCTAACCCCCGAATTTCGGCTTCATTTATATTTCAGTCAGTTTAAGGCACTCTGTAAAAATTCTAAGGTACAAAACCGAAATGTCTTAGAGGTGCCTAAGATATCTTTTTTGACATATTCTATTACCAATTTTTCTTATGTGTTTTTCCTTCAATTATTTTAGTGAAGTTCCCTCCTAACATAGTGAATATCCATGTGAAACATCCCCCTGAAGCCTCAGTTCAGATCCATCAAGTTTCAAGAATTGACAGCACATCAACAGGACAAAAAGCGAAAGTACCTCAGCCAGTACCTCCACAGGTCTCTTACCAAGGTCTTCCGTATCAGAAGACCCAGAAAGGACATACTACTTACACAAATCAACAACCCATTCCTCATATGTTTCCTGTTTCAGTTAAAACTCAGCTTGGGCGCTGCTTCCAGGAGACTATTGGGACACAGGTAAGAAATATTTGCTAATTTTGAGACAGGTAGCCTTAAAACAATATTGTAAAAGAGTAAAAATAATTCACTAGTTGCCAGGATAGGACACATTTGATATTCTTTTCCAAAACCAAATTATTTTGAGAATGTGAAATTTTTACAAAATAACATTTTTCTGAACCTCCTTCTCCTTCGAGCTAATGTCTTTATTTTCTGCGGGCTTGGATCCCTGGCAGCTCTGGTTTCAGTTATTCTGGCCATAACGTCTCCATTTACAAGCGATTTCTCCAAATAAAAAAAATGATTTAAATCCTAACTCCATCTCTACTGCTTGAACATCTAAGGTTATGCCATCTTCCACAGCTCATACTGCCCTTTGCTTTGATGGGTCTTGTTGCACATGTCTCTCAACAGCCAGTGTTTTTCAAGGAGCTGCAGTTGTCATTAAAATTCCTATTCAACAGCTTCATCTGTTTTACAGTATTGCAGGCTAATGTTTTGAATCTGCTGAAAAGTGACTATTGAGTGGGGTAGAAAAATCCTGAAAGCTGAGTGTTTGCTAGAGCGTTAAAACCTTAGTTCAGTTTAAAATAATGCATTCACATCAGGTTTTACATATGACTATTCAAAATTGCCTATCTTTTTTCAGCTCTTGGAATAACTTTAATAAGCAACACAGCATTATCATTTTTGCATATATGTTAATGCACAGGGCAAGAAAGAAGGCGTATGTGAAGAGATTGTAAAAAAGTCAGTTAAGACCCTGTTATTTATTGCTTATCATCCTGCCAAAGCTGAACTTTTCAGGTCGAATGTTTTTTAAGCTGAATCTGTGCCTCGGGCTGAAATTTTGTGGGAGGTTTTAGAAAAATTACTCACTTGTTTTGAGGGATGATGTTAGAGAATGAATATGTTGTTTTACTCGGGCTAAAAGATTAATTTATGACTGTTTCATTGCAGATTTGGATCATCTGTACGCTTCAAAGTAGAAACTTAAATTTTTCACAAATGTCACTGCTTTTGGTCCTTCCAGTAACATGCACCTCAAGTTAGCCAATTTTCAAGCAGCTAAAGACGTCTATTCCCAATATATTCCCCAGACATTTGTTCGATGTTGGCAGCAATATTCTCCAAAGATTTCACCCGCACAGACCGTGGTCTGCCTTCCCCTGAAAGGGGCAGCACCCGTCATCCCTGAAATGCAGGGCTGGGGCAAAACATCACGTACAAGTGTTTCTTCTAGCGGTCAGGGAGTGCTGTGGCGCCAAGCGTCAGAACTGACTGCAAGGACATGTTCTCGCGGCTCCCAAGCAGCACGTGCACACCAGAAAAAAGAGGGGGGGAAAAAAAAAAAGAGGGAAGAGACTTCACTCACAGAGGGACAAGGAGCTTTGGAGAGGGGCAGCGGTGGGGCCCGGGCAGGAACAGAACAGGATGCCGTCAGAAGCAGGGTGAGGGTAACATAGGTGGCAGATCCCAAGGCAGTTAACTTCTGGAACCTCAAGTGAAATCGCAGTTCCGTAGTCTTAATCATCCTCTGCCAGCTCCAAATAGCTGACTTTTTTCCTGTAAAATATTATTCTCTTTTCCATTCAGTGACTGGCTTCTGCAGCACAGTGTAGCCTTCCTACTAGTGACTTAATTCACTCCCGAGTTTCAGAAGCCATTGCAGTAGAGGTAGAGATCCCAAAACCTGCTTGGGTTAGGCCGTCACAAGAGGATGTTTAAAAATAATCCATCTGAAAAATGCAATGGAAGAAATAAACTTAAATGGCATCATGCCCCCCCAATGTTTCTAGAAGACCAAAGTTCAGTTTGTGTATGGACCATGAAGGGCTGGTAGTCGCTGATGAATGCTTGGTTTGGGCTCTGCAGTGTTCATTTACACAGATAAGCCCTTGGTGCTTGGCTGTTTCAGGAATAGCAAGACTTTGACTTGGTTCTCTAACAAGTGCTGCAGCACACGTTCAAATGGCATTTCACGGATTTTACATGACAAAATGAAGCCTGTGTCAAACAACCATTTATCTGTATTTCCAAAGAATGAGAGCTCTAACGTATAATGTGCAATCATAAAAATCTGGAAGTAATTATAATTGATAGTTGTTTGTTATTTTTCATTTTTATATATTATTTTTATTATATTTATATTTGCAGTCATATAGGGGAAGACAAAATTCCTTCCTCAGTCTTAGACTTGGCAGTGCTGCATCTTTTATCTCTCACCTCTTAGGCTTGATTGACTCCCAGTCCGTTCTTTCTGACGTGCGCATGAGTGAGGTGTTTCGAATGACACATCCAAAACTTTCAGTCTTCTGTGCGTGCCCTTCACATGCTAAAGCTTGCTTACCACTCCCTGGAAGACAGTAATATGCTCCTTTTAAAGGGGCAGAAAAGGGAAAATACCCTTGCGTTGTCCTCATGCCTGACTTGGAATCCCACTAAATGCTCAGTCTCCAGTTGTTATAATGGGTTTTTTTCAGTATTCCACTGGACGAATGTGTCTTTGCATTACTCTCAAGGAAGGGTAGTGCCTCCTGGTTTAGAATAATGCTTGTTCTCATTTTTTACACATTTCATTGATCCTTTCAGTGTCAGTCTTGGAGAAGAGCATAGCAAGGATTTCAGAGGCCTTTTGTTATTTAATGATTCAATTTAGAATTGGAGTTCCAGCATGGCATTTTGTAGAGCGTTTATTTAAGACGTTGCCATAAATACAGATTTGACTCATTCACCTTTCAGATTTGAACCTGAAATGTTAATATGTTTTTCCTGCAGTCAGGCAGTGCCTGTTATTTATTTGTATGTTAAATATACCTTGAACTGGGAAAGACATTTAATTTTTTTTTTTTTTACTGTTCCATAGATCTTCCAAAAGAATTTGGTTTTCTGTTTCTTTGATACTTACTTTGCTAAATATGAGGGTTCTCTTTATTTGTTCAGACTAGATGCTAAACTTTCCCTATTAGTAGCAATGGGTTTCTGGAGTTTATGCTGGATAATTTTGATATCTGTACTTTTTTCAGCAATCATCAGTGTACATACATTTTTTTGCAGGGTGGATTGTATATTTGGCTTCACAAGTATTTTATTAAATATCCTGGGATCAGAGGTGACTTTACTGTCTGTAGAGCAGATTGGTGGAAGGATATGTGAATGGCCTCTTGTAGGCAAATCAAGCAAGTAAATAAAAACTTCACTGAACTGACTTTTGGTTGAGGCTAAAAGCACGGGATGAAAACAGCATCAGAATCTCTACTATGGTTGTGTGTGTATGTGTGACCTCTACCATTCTGTTTCTCTCTTTCTCTCTCCTGGTCTTCAATTACAGGTCCGCTGATGTGAATGCGTTGTGTTTTTCACAGTGTTCTGTGGAATATTTTTCATCTTCCAACTCATTCTTCCTCACCCCACCTTAGTTAAATTCCTTTAACGTATCTCATTCAAAAACAGTAGTCCTGAAAAGCCAGTAGGATGGTTGCTATACTCAAATCCCCAGACAGCCGGGGCATGTTTTCTGTGGCATATGTCCAGCAGTGCACGTACTGTTAAAGTTAGCGACTGGAACCTCCCTGAACTGACGCTTGGAGGACGTTCCGGTATAGGTAGTTGAAGAATCTGGTTGTGTTCTCAGGCCTCCAATCACTCCTAATTAACAACATAGAAATTCTTCTAGACCTACTATTTGCTTAGTTGTCTGTCGGGTCAGAAGTGACTATAACCAAAGGCAGCCACCATGAGAAAAGGGTGGTAGAAGCTGTCAGTCTACCAGCTTAGGAGGACAGGAAGAGAGACACTGTTTTATGGCTGTTGTCATAAAAATACAGGGAGCAAACCTTTACCTAAACTTGCACCTTGTTATAGAGGAAATTACATTGAGAAAATAGAGGCTTGAAGTTGGGAAACAGATACAATGGAAACAGTAAGACTAAAATCCCACTTGAGATGGAGAACAGTAAATTTCTGGAGAGCGCTGTATGTTACAATGCCTTCAAAAGCTGGCGACTGGATGTGTGTCTGCAAGGTCCTTTACAGCCATGTAGTCCTGTGTTTCTGAAACCTGAAGTGTTGGTCATCTTAGACCACTGATTCTCTAAGTCCTATTTAAAAAGGAAGCAAATAAGGAAGATTATGTTTCTCTTCTTTAATTCCTCCTCTTCAGCTGCTTTTCATTTTAATTCTAATAAAAATGCCTTTATTATGACACAGAATATCTTGTTATTTCCCAAAATACTTCTACAGTGTCAGTGGTGCACCTAGTAAAGATTGTGTTGGTAATCTTGAGTCCTGTTAATTTTGCATATTACTTTGCATTTAAATAGAGAAAAGAATGCAGATGCCTACTATCTGTCAAAATTCTTATAATTAAGCATTGCTTCCCCCTGCCCTGCCCCCCCTTAAAGATCAGCTTGAAGTGTCTACTAAGTATATGCAGGTGTTTTCCTGTGGTTACTGCATTTCAGTCTTTTGGCTAAAAAGGTGGTCTTTCTCAAAATTGATTTGGTCTCTTTCTTGCTTAACTGCAAAGAGGAAGGCAATTTTGCAAAGCAGCAGGAAATCGGAGAGGCTGGTGTTTCCAAATTTTTCTGAAGCAGGCTCTTTCTGACTAGGTTCACAAGTAATGCTGTTTTCTTCAGCAGATATTTTTGAGTATCAGTTTTACCGAAGGAGACCTCTGGTGGTCTCGGCATCTAGGATTTAAAAACAAAATAAAAAAAGAGTTGTTGCTTTAGAGAGACAGACGTGGAAGGTGCTTAGCAGGCTGAAGGCAGCATACGCCAAAACGTCCAGAAGGGGAGCTGGCTAAGAAGTCGTGTCGGCCTGTGCTTGTTGGTTCCTCCTTCAGCTGTGCTGGTGTAGCTGCTGCGAGCAGCTGAACTGCTCTCTGAAATGATCCTGGCAAGAGTTTAAAAAATGCTGTCTTCTGATCCCCCTTTTGTTGGGGTGTTCTGAGTTTGGCTCAGGTTGCAGTGTTTGGGGGATATGGGCTGCTCCTTGCTTCTCGGTTGTTTGCTTGA